GTCACAGTGACTGTACAACAGAATGAAACCCTGCCCCGTCCTGCGCCATCCTAGTCTTTATTTGAGCCCATTGTTGTAGCCACCATGTCAGTCCGTCTCGAGGGTCTTCCTCTTTTTTGTTGACCCTCTACTAGCCCTTTTCCCCCATTGTCATTCTCTTATCCTGAGTTAGTGCTCTTTTTATCTAGGTAGTTCTAAGGGGAAATCCTAACAGAAATAAAGTAATAGCCCTTAGACTCACTCCTAGGGGGAAAAAATTCCTGGACTTAAAAAAAAACTGATCTTGCTCTCATTTTCTCCTTCAGCTGTTGTAGTTCTGTATTTTCATCTCCATGTATTTATTTTCCAGCTTTTCCCTGCAGTTTCAGAAGGAGGTTGAGAAGTTTTGTCTGATTTCAGCTAACAGATGTCCTTTGAACCCTTCTTTCCTCAGTCTGTACCAAAGCTGACCTTCCCGGGTGGGTTACTAATTGGCTGTAGTCCCGGGTTCATGAACGTTCCCAAGATCAAAGGTACCCACACAGCAATGAAGAGTGGGAGTTTAGCAGCAGAATCTGTTTTTAAGCAACTAACTGATGAAAATCTCCAGTCAAAGACGACAGGTAAGTACGTTCTATTTAAAGTATAGGGAAGAAAATGGATAGGTTCTTCACTGAGGCATTTAAAAAGAAGCTATTTAAATGTGTTGGTGTTGTTAGTTATCACTGAGTTGATTCCGACTCCTGGCGACCCTATGTGTGCAGAGTAGAACTGCTCCCTGGGTTTTCAAGGCTGTGACCTTTCGGAAGGAGATCCTAGGCCTGTCTTCCGAGGAACTTCTGGGTGGGTTCGAACCACCAATCTTTTGGTTGAACACTTAAACTGTTTGCACCACCCAGGGAATTCTTATTTAAACATACATCCCTTATATAGAGAATGAAAGTAAATACAATTACACATCATAAGATCTTTTTCATGTCTATTTCAGTTGAAGCTAAAAAGCTATCTACTGTATCTGTCCCGCTGTACAAAACAGTAAGATGTGTGCTGTGCGAGGAAACTCCATGAACGTGTTCTTCCTCTGTCAGACATTTTTACAGCTGTATTCTCTTATGGTCACATCAAATAGTAAAATAGTACCAGTGATGGCCCACCTACTTAGAAAATATTCCAACTTTGGAAATACAGCATTACATTACATATATGTAATATACAGAATAAGATACCTCCCAAATACTGAATGAAGTATCTTCAGTCGGAACATAGAACAGCTTTGCAGACTGCAGAATCAAACAGCCACCTATTCCTTAGCCAACTTTGAAAGCACAGGCATATGAGCCCTCTGCTGTGGTAGACAGGGACAGCCGTTATACCTCCGGAGATACTTAAACCCTTAATTGAAAAAGTCTTATCCAGAAGACCCACTAGTGGTTCTCAGTTTGCCTCAAAGTCAGAGATCCCCCATGCTCTGACTCCGTCTCCTGTTACTCCCTCCATCCCATCCACACTGGCTTCTTTGCTGTCCTGGAACATGCCAGGCATACTCCCTCCGTGGTCTCTGCTCATGGCTGACTTCCTTGTTCCCTTCACCTCTGCCATTCTCTCTCTCACAGTGGCTCTGCCTTGACCACACCATTTAAATTACAACACAGATCCCCCTGCACTGTTTTTCTCTATAGTATTTTTTACCTTTTGGCACACTGTATAATTTATTAAGTTTATGCTGCCACTTGGTTCAAAACTCCAAGAGCAAGGACTCTGTTCACTGTGAATGCTGAACACCTGGCACACAGGGCAAACTCAATAGATACCTGACAGATAAGTCTTGTCCCTCAGAATTCCAGGTAACAGATTGTCCCTCTAGTTAGAAGTATGCAGCCTGGTTACACCTTCAGATATCTTTGTAGGAACAGGACCCACGGTGTGGGAGTGGGAGGAGACGTGAGAGAACATAGAGGAGGCAAGAGGGCACTTCAGGGAGGACAGAATGGACTGGACAGAGTGTAAGCGGCGGGTAGTGGGATTGTCTCCCTTTTCTTGCCCAGTATCTGCCTGTTGGACACTCGCACTGTGTCATGTACACAGAGGACCACACACAGATAGTACCAGAGCTAAGATGTCATCAGACCGAGAACAACTGAAGATTAAAGCTGTAAGGAAAGGGGAGTGCAGCCGGCACAGGAAACAGTGACTGGCAGGAAAGTATGGAGAACACGAAAGGCATTAAGAACCCATCTGTCCCATTAAGTGTAAAATGGTTTTAGGTATGAAGTAGTTTCACTGATAAATTACAAAACATTTCCTTTTACAGGTACCATGAACTTTTTATGTGAAGCTTCCTTGTCAGTTTCACTGAATTTTGCAGCTAATTTTCCATGCTACCAGTATAAAAAATTACATGTCTTACTGTCTTAACAAACAGCAGTAAACATTTGTGTATCAAATAGTTAGCTTTTTGGAAGATGCCAGCATTTATACGTGACAGAATCTTGTGTGATCTTATATGAGCACCTTTATTTTAATATACTTAAGATTCATTCTTCTAATATTTCAGTAGCAAAATACCTCAACTAAGAGTATTTTATGCTTCCTGAAGCAATTCCACACTTAACATTTCATTTTTAATAAAAGGACTCCATGTAACTGAGTATGAGGACAATTTGAAGAAATCCTGGGTGTGGAAAGAGCTCTATGCTGTCAGAAATATAAGGCCCTCCTGCCATGGATTCCTGGGGATATATGGAGGGATGATTTACACTGGAATATTTTACTGGATATTTAGAGGGATGGAGCCATGGACTCTAAGACATAAAGGTAATTTAAACAGATTTGAGAGTCTGTATTTTACACTTATAAAAATTCATGAATAGGATCCATTGATTAATGGAGAAAATGACCTTAATCTTTGAATGTTTTAAATTTTATTTGACAGAAAATCCTTTTAACAGAATTTTCTTATTAAGTAATAATTCCAGTGTCTAAGAAAATAATGTAATTATAAGAAGACTAAAGCCATAGTATTTCTTTCTTTAGTATAATATTTGTAGGTTTTTACGTTTAAGAAAGTACTTTAAAATTAGTGTTGTATTTTTATTAAACACCTTCCTCAAACTGTTGAAGGTTTTGACTGTGATCAGCTAAAGCCAGCCAAGGATTGCACACCCATTGAGTATCCCAAACCTGACGGACAGATCAGTTTTGACCTCTTATCATCTGTGGCGCTGAGTGGCACTAACCATGAGCATGACCAGCCGGCACATTTAACCCTAAAGGATGACAGTATACCTGTAAATAGAAATCTGTCCATCTATGACGGACCCGAGCAGCGATTCTGCCCTGCAGGTCAGTAATGGGATGTCCGTCCATTCCTAAATATTAATACAAACACTGGCTTTAAACATTTTAGAAATAAGACTCTGTTAAGAAATTTCTATACCTTTACCATTGTTTGGAAATTGTTCTGAACGGCCCCAACACCCAGCTGGCTTTAGGAAACTCCTTATTTTTATGGTTCTTACTCTAAACTATCAACGTTAAAATAATGGAGGATTTTTGTTAGGCCTAAATCAGATGACATTTCTCCAAAGGTCATTCCCTGACTTCCTTAGACTAAGATAAGGATTATGGGGACACTGAAGAAATACCTCTTTGCATGTTCATGGGATTTGTTATTTTCATCATTTACGTCATCACAGTGGCGTGTGAACTCCTTTTAAGGGGAAGGACTGAATCTGATTGTCTTTTCAGCAGATACATGTATATACTGAGTTCTCTTGTTAATAAGACTAACTCAGCCAAATAGTGCTGTAACTCCTGCTATTATGCATAGCATAGTTTATGCTAACAGCATACACCAAGATCTCAGTAATATTCTCTGAGTAAACATTCAGAAAACAACTTTTAAGGTTTCTGTAGCTACCATTTCTGGGACCATAATTTCTATTTTTGAATTTTAAAGTTAGAAGTTAGGTATTTCAATGTTATGTATTTTTACTTTACAGGAGTTTATGAATTTGTTCCTTTGGAACAGGGTGATGGATATCGGTTACAGATAAATGCTCAGAACTGTGTGCACTGTAAAACATGTGATATTAAAGATCCAAGTCAGAATATTAACTGGGTTGTACCAGAAGGTGGTGGAGGACCTGCTTACAATGGAATGTAAACTACAACTGATTTCATCTGCAAGTACACTTGGCACCTAGTTTCTTTACAATGTAGGCAAGCGAACTTCAAAACGTTAATGGCTAACAAGTGTCATAATCTCTTAGAGTGTATTACTGACCAGAATGTTCACAACTCAGTGAAATAAAAATTCCATACTGTATCAAAAACTGTCCCATAAAAAATTATCTTAAAACCTTATGGTGTAGCATCTACCTAACTTCAGTTCTTCAGAGATTTAGTCCCAACAGTAAAACGCACTATTGACCTAAATGTACATACATGACTTGCCAAATTGAAGTCTTCAAGTATAAAAATGAATATATATATTCTGGAAGAGGCATCAGCATCTAGCCCACAACTTTTTCTTATGAATAAAGTTTTACTGGAACACAGCCATGCCCACTGGTTTACATACTGCCGTGGATACTTTAAAGCTACAACTGCAGAACTGAGAACAGGCAGTCCCTGGGTTAGGAACTAAGGAACCAACCCCCAAAAGTCGATTATAGTAAAAATCTGAGGTGCATACAATGGTTCGTGAATAACAGACCAACAGTACTTTGTGATGTGCACCACAATATTATATTATTATGGTAAAGATGTTTTAGTGTATCTGAAGTGTTCAATGTTTTGTATACATAGAAGGATACACTAGGTACCAAGACAAACGACTGACTGATGTTGAGATTCGAATCGTACCTCACTGTTCTGACTTACGTACAAACTCGACTTAAAAACAGATTTAGGAACGGAACTCATTCATAATCCAGGGACTGCCTGTAGTTGTGACTGGTCCATTAAAACCTCAAATATTTTTCAGTCCTTTGTGTAGAAAGTTTGCCAAAACCACTGTGTATAAATTTTTGAATGAGAAACTGATCTGCTCTGTAAACTTTCTTTTTGAATGAGAAACTTAACCTGCACTGTGAACTTTCACCTAAAGCACAGTTTTAAAAACAAGTCTGCCAATCCCCACTGTAGACCACTGAGGCAGTTCATGAACAGGTGTGTGTACTGTGAAGTATAAACCACCACCACAAACCAACCAGAGACATACCGAAGAAATATGGCGAAGAATATCAACAAGACGATGTGTCGTCAGGAGATTAGTAACAGGATGGACGCCCTTGTTTGTGAAAATCAACTTCACAATGTATTCTGTAACACTTTTATTACGAGTATGAGGCCATCAGTACTTCTACAGTGAACACTAGGAAACTGAATCGTACAAGGAAACATGTTAGGGATCATATACAACACACACCCTTAAATGTTCTTACTGCCTTTATACAATCTGAATCTGAATTCCTCATTAAGCAAACATTTTTGCATAAGCTGCCTTTTCTTTATCTTTCTGTGCCTTTATCTTTTGTTTGACTTTCAGCAGTTCTGCCTGGATAGCTGCAAGATAAATATACAAGTTATCAGAATATTAAAAAAAAATGAGGGTGATTGACAAATGTTTTAATATTACAGAACTGCCTTTTGATAACTCCCATTTTCCTCTCCCATAAAGTGATACAGCCCAATTAACAGAAAACTCTAAAGAAAGGACAATCATTTTCACAAACAAAAATTCCAAGTATGAATCACTCACCTGAGGACTCAATTATACAGAGCTCTGCCTTAGCCCTCCCCACTAGAGGGGCAGGAAGTGCCTCTCCTGTTTTACTTTAGCCATAAAAGACCAAAGATAATTTAACGTCTAGATTTAGGGTCACTATTAATAGTTGGCTTACTTGAAAAACGTAACTATTTTTGTCATAGCTGTCCAAACCTTTTCCTTAAACATACATCCATTAGCTAGAACACTAGGTTAAAATTAAAGGTTAAATTCTGCAGAGTCCTCATTATGGCCACATTCAGGTGAAGGAATCGTTCCAAACCTTAAATCCACCATGAACACTGTCTCTTTCAGTGCTGGGTTTTCAACTAGCATTACAGAAATAGGAACCAGCTCTCAAATAATACGGTGGAACAAAAAGTACTCAGATATAAGAACAATCAGTACACTCTGCAGAGAGATTAGAATGAAAGTTCTTTCAGGGCAGGAACTCTGTCCCGTTCACTGCTGTATGATCTCTAGTATCTGTTTAGCGATAAATATCTAAGTGGCAAGGATACGATGATTTGTGATGATAATTTCTTAAAGGACAAAATCAACTGTCACTACAAAAACTGCCAACTTACCTTTATCTTCTGGCGCTATCTCCTGAGCTTTCTTAAGATCAGCCTTTAAGTGGAAAAAAACATTTTAAGAAAAATCAGGTGTATAATTTATAAAGGGCTATTTTTAAAAATTAAACATTTTAGAAGAAAATTTTACCAATGCTTGATCGTATTCTTTTAATCCTTGCCATCCTTGAGCTCTGCGGTATAGTGCTTTGGTATTTGATGGATCTATTTCAAGAGCCTATAAAAATTATAAAATTATTATTTATATGGAAGTATAAAATGTATGTGGCTAGTTCTCAATTTACTGCCTGCTGGCTCCAAATCCACCCTTCACTGCTCTGTGATAATGGACCCGGGTCCTGCCAATCTCTCTCCTTTGCCAGCTGACACCACGGTAAGTTTTGTCAGTAGAGGCTGCTGAACAGAAGTAGAAGAGAAAGGTGCTTGTCCTCCAAGTTCCGGTGTGCTGCTTTCAGCAGGCTCCTGCAGTAAGCTTACAGCACCTCCCTGTGGCAACATTCCCAGACACTCCAGACAGCAGCTTCCCAACAAGTCCCACAGGTTGGGCACCTCAAACAACTCCTCTGCCTTCCACTGAGTCCCAGCCATGGCCTCTCCAGTGACAGCTGGATCTCAGCCCAGGGGGAGAAGGACCTCTCTGCCTTAGGAGATCTAGCCCAGTCCTGTCAACAATGGCTATATTTCATCTACATATTATACACACACACACTGTATCTTCTATTGCTAAGCCATCTCTACCCCCTACCAGCCAATCCCTCATTACCCAATCCTCTGCTATACTGTCTTCTATTAAACTTTCCCTGCTCAAATTACTGTGTGATTTCTCTGTCTCCTGACTGGGCCCTAATGCATGGAATGTATTTCTAAGAGAAAACCATTTTGAATGAAAATTTGTGTACATTTTCATTTGAAATCTAGGGTTTTTTTTAGAAGCATGAGTAAATTAACAGGTTTCTCCTTGTAACATTTTTTAAATAATGTATTTTGTTTATGTAACATCTTTCAGAGGCCAAAACTCAGTTTTTACTGAAGAGAGTATTACCTGTCTCACACAGGTCAAGAAATATAAAGTGATAAATTTCTCCTCTATATATGCTCCCTACTAACATACTCTTATTCCATCCACCCTATCAAATTAGGATCCCATTTTATTTCTACTTCGCTTTCTGTTAGCTGATCTATATACATAGCTTAATGTGCAAATTACATAAAAGTACTACGAATAGTCTCAGTTTGGAAATTTTTTCAAATAAAGTATATTATAGGGAAAAGGGTCATACTGCTTTGCTGTTTGAGGAAGGGAATGCCTCCACCTTTCTAGCATTATCAGTATTCCTGTATCCCCCATAAGACAGGTGGCTCCTCTGTGTTTTCCAATAGTACCATTCTCCCACACAAATCCTAATGACCCTAAATTGAAACTGACTCCTTTCTCTGCTAAGCCTATAAGCTCCTTGAGGGCATGGGTCTGTTCTTTTCATTATAAAAACTAGTATTTATCATTAAGTGCTTCATACGTGCCAAGCTCTATGTGAAATACCTTACATGTTACACAATTCTTCAACAACCCCATGAGGCAGGTATTATTATTTAATCACTTCTGGCTTTATCTTTCAATGCCTAACATATTATCAGTGCTCAATTAATATGTTAAATGATTAAATGAGTTGCTATGTCTGCTTTGAGGAAAAAAGGAAAGGATCTTCATAGGTATGAAGTGACATGATGCTGTAAGCAAAGGGAATGTGTACTGAGAAGAACTAAAGATCCAAATTATTTAGAGACTTTTTCATCCTGTCTCAGTAAGATGAATTAATGTATATAAAAATAGTTTTTGTTCAAATTGTTGTCATAATTGAACTCTTTCAAAAGTTCAACATCAAACACGCACCTCCACACAGCTGTCAATCGCGCCCTGCCAATCTGACATCTTCAGTTTACAAGCAGCAATATTGAGCACACAGCTTAAAGCTACAGGTTGTAGCTTGGAGCTATCTGCCTTCTCAGTAACAGCCTTTGAACCTTCCATATATCTGTAAAAAGCATTAACAGAAATCGTATGTAATACTGTGTAAATAGGACTGCTTCTTCAACTATGTTAAAAAGTATTATGTAATCTCTGATAGGAAAAGCTCATTAAATGCTATTATTAATACTCTTAATATCACAATCTTTTTATTAAATGTTTTTCTTTAAGAAGTTTTTCTCGTTTTCAAAAAGGCCAATTTAAGAGCAATCCTCAAATCCAATGATAATTATGTACTAGTAACACATTTCCATTTTTAAAATTCAATCCCACTATGTTGGAAAGTATTCCACCGTAATTATGTCTGGAACTAGGGTTCTCACCATGAAAGAAGGAAATGGAGGAAACGGAATGGGGAAAGGCAAAGAACTCCATAGTGCTGACTGTCAATGATGTTAGTGTAACTAATGCAGTTCCTAGCTCTGTCCGCTGAAAGAGCCCATAAACAATGAGCACACTCAGCCCCGAGAATTTGGTGTTTAAAGTCTATCACCCACTGAAAAGAATCAGGACTCCATGGAGAAACTGCTAATAACCGAACTGAAAGCAAGGATAAGTATAAGCTTAGAACATCTTGTGTCAGAAAACAAGCAAATGCTCATAGACTAACGGGACCATGTTAAAGGAATGTAGGAGCTGGCTGAGGTGGCTTTCACTGGACAAATTTGAGCACCATAAAGAACAACAATAATAGTAACAGTGTATTAACACAGTGAATGGGAAAACATCCACCAGCTCATTAAGTCTCGCGTGTTGCTGCTAAGGCAATTCTGATTCATGGTGACCCCACATATTAGTAAAACTAAACTCCATGAAGTTTATAGTGATACTAAAAGGAGGAAGAAGGGGTCTGTCAAACAGAAGAATGCCAGCTAATAACTGTAGAATGAATGGTAACATTAGAAAACCACAGTTCTGCAACCATCAATATAACTAATTCAGGCAAGGATTGCCCATGATGCTAACCTGGGTGAAGGGTCGCTGTGGATTGGTATTTACAATCTTACAGTATCACCTCACGGCTATTTATTAACAGACATCTGGACAACACCACTTTAATGAAGTGTCCAAACTCAAAATAAGCCAAGCTGATACGTGCCTTTCAGGTATGATGTCACAGGGAATTTACAACATCACCTAAGTCCTTCTGACAAACCATTCAACCTCAATCTGATCTTGGACAACACAACATACACAGATGGTATTCTACGAACAAGTGACCCAGGCTCCACCAAAATGTTAATATCGTGAATGACTAAAAACATCATGGGGGGAGGGGCTGTTAAAGATTAAAGATTAGAAGATAGAACAGGGGACAGAAAAACACTAGACAACAGACAAGTGGTAACTTTGGTGAAGGGTGAGACAGTACACAATACCAGGGAAGCCAGCACAACTTGTACAAGGCAAGGTCATGGAAGCTCCATAGACACATCCAAACTCCCTGAGGGGCTGAACTGCTGGGCGGAGGGCTGTGGGGACCGTGGTCTCGGGGAACATCTAGCTCAACTGGCATAACACAGTTTATAAAAAAAAAAGTTCTACATTCTACTTTGGTGAGTAGCGTCTGGAGTCTTCAAAGCCTGAGTGGCCACCTAAGATACTCCACTGGTCTCACCCCTTTGGGAGCAAGGGAGAATGAAGAAAACAAGATATACAGAAAAGATTAGTCCAAAGGACTAATGGACCACAACTACCATAGCCTCCACCACACTGAGTCCAGTACAACTAGATGGTGCCCAGCTACCACCACTGACTGCTCTGACAGGGATCACAATAGAGGGTCCCAGACAGAGCTGGAGAAAAATGTACAACAAAATTCTAACTCACAAAGACCAGACTTGGTGGCCTGACAGAGACTGGAGAAACCCCAAGAGTATGGCCCCCGGACACCCTTTTAGCTCAGTACTGAAGTCACTCCTGAGGTTCACCCTTCACCTAAAGATAGACAGCCCCATAAAACAAAATGAGACTAATGGGGCACACCAGCCCAGAGACAAGGACTAGAAAGCAGGAGGGGACAGGAAAACTGTTAACAGGGAACCCAAAGTCGAGAAGGGAGAGTACTGACAGATCGTGGGGTTCTTAACCAATGTCATAAAACAATATGTGTACTAACTTTAAAGAGAAGCTAGTTTGTTCTGCAAACCATCTAAAGTATAATAAAAAGATTTAAAAAAAAAAAAAAGTGACAATGCATGATCCTGGTTTTAAAAAAAAAAGTGAAACAATTGGGGAAATTTGAATATGGATTACATATGAGATGATAATCTATACCAATGGTATTTTAGAGGTATTCCAATGATATAAGATATTAAAATGTCCCTGTTCCTTAGGAAATACAGGATGAAATATTTAGGGATAAAGTGTTATGGTATCCACAACTTCCTTTTGAAATGGTTCTACAAAAAGAAATAACAACAAAAGTTAAGTACTGGTGAATGTAGGTAAGAAGTATATGGGTATTTATGTATCATGTCTTTCAACTTTTCTAAATTTGGAACTTTTTCAAAATAAGAAGTTGGGGGCAACAAAAGAAAGGCAATTATTTCAACACATCTGGCTACCCTGCAAGTAATTTTCCAAATATAATTAATAACTCTGAATTGGTTCATAATTTAATTTACAAGTTCCTAAAAGTGATTTATTAAAAAATATTTTATTACCTTAAAACTTTTGCATATTTCTTTATGGCCATCTCCCAGTTCTGGGATTTAAAAAAAGTATTGCCAATGTTTTTTAAGTCTTCTGTTATCAATAAAATTTTATCCACCTGTATAAAACGAAGAATACAAATATGTTGAATTTTATAGGTAACGTGGTTTTATGATAGGTTTTATCATTAGGACAGGTTGAAACAAAAAATATTTTTAGTGCTTTAAGTAAAGTTTGACTAATCTGAAAGTACTCACATCTTTTAAATCTATATCTGCATCCTCAGGGAAATCTGGATGACTGTCGCCAGAGCCATCTTTTGGGAATATCCCCCAATCTTCCCCTTCTTTTAATTCTCCGCATTCTGCAATAACGCACAACTGTAAAAATAATCCTAAATTGTAGAAGTGCACTACAATATTAATGAAAGATAAAAAATCACCGGAGTTTACAAAGCTATACAGCTGCAAGTCATGCCGGAGTCACTTCTGAAACTAGATTTAGGAAGGAGACTCATCTACTGAATTACAATATTGCTGTGAGTTGACGTTAGTCAATTCCGACTCATGGCAGCCCCGTGTGTGTAAAAAACTGCATTCCGTAGGATTTCAAGGCTGGGACCTTTCGGAAGCAGATCGCCAGGCCTGTCTTCCAAGGTGCCTCTGGGTTGGTTTAGACTGCCAACTTGTTAGCTAGTAGTCGAGCACTTAACCATCTGTGCCACCCAGAAACTCCTATTACTATAATGCCCTTTATAAACATTCCAACGGAAAAAACAATGTCACTAAAGTTTTTATTGCTATCAAGAGCTCAGGAGACACAGAATTGAAAATTGTAACATTTTCTATGTAAATTTTCTCAGGTGTGGCACGTGCTTTCAGTTTACTACTGGTCCCTCCATGTACAGAGGGACAGCCTACCGCCTACAGGTAACTATCTTCAGCTCCCACTCACAGCCCCGTCGATTAAGCTGAGTGGTATTATGGCCATTTTGATTCAGACATTTAGAACACAGGATCTTTAGAGGTAATCTAAACTCTTCAGTAATTTATATAGGATGAGGAAACAGGCCAAGAGGAGTTAAACAACAAAGATCAAGACGAAACCACCAATTAATGGCAGAGTCCACACAAGATTCTGGGTTTCCTGTTCTCTCTCTACTATACACTACCATGCATGCCAACTCAAAGTTTTGCAGGTGTAGGAAGACTTAAGCCTTTGATCAAAGATCACCAAGATTAAAGTTGAAATAAGAGTTAATTAAAATATCCTTAAAAACTACCCTAATCTTTCCCATTGTAGAAAACAGTTTCAACGAAAAAGTCAGCAATTTTTTCCCGCTAATAATCACCTACTCCTTTCATTTACATTTCCTTAAGATAACAGCTAAGACAGTTATGTGTATTTCACTGTAACTTTTACTTACTTTGGCAGGGTTTTCACCTTTCACTTCTACATTTTCCAGTATCCTTGCCACACCCATTCCTTTAATCACTTGGCCAAACACCACATGTTTCCCATCCAAATGAGGAGTTGGAACCGTTGTGATAAAGAACTGAGACCCATTTGTATTGGGTCCTGCGTTTGCCATGCTCAATAAACCCTCCTGATCATGCTGCAAGAATAAAAACCATTGAAAGAAAACCAAGGTTAGAGGTACTAGTCTGAATTGATCTCTTACTAACCACTCACACAAAACTTAGGGTGGACTGTAATACCATTTAGACCCAACAATGTAGGGTAATTCTACTTTGTACAAATTGCAACTTTAATTCACAAAACGTGGGGTACTTAATCAATTTTTAAACTTAAAGAAAAGCTTATGAAGCCAAACAAAGTAACATGAACAACAGGGAGAGGTGTTATTTCTAAAGTGACAAAGAAGATGCTTACACTTCATCTTTAAGATGAAGATGCTGGATTAAGGAAATCTAATAGTATATTTTGCCCTTTTTATGACTGCTTTTTCTGACAAGACCTGAACAGTCTTCCACACTTACGGGCCTACATTATGATTTTTCCCTTACATATCAGTACACTGGAAATAGTGATGGGACACTGAGCTTACAAAGGACATTCAGTTAGGTATTTTCCTAATTTCAAAAAGAATTCAAATATTACGGCTTTAATCCCCAATGAATCACTCCTTCAAATTCCACCTTGGCATCAGTGTGTTCAAAGGGTCTGTCAAACCCAATTTCTTCATCTTTCCAGTCTATTTCCTAGGCCTTTGAAAGGTGTTCCCTGTTGGTCCATGCACTGTAATGTTCGTGTTAATTAAGTCTTTCTACCTAAAATGCCTCTGTCCCTCCGAGCGAAATCGAATTCAGCTTTCAAGCTCACCAAGTTTGTAGAAGAACCACGTGCCCTTACTACAGGCCCCCTTTCCTTTTATCAACCCGATCACCATATGATCTTAGTTTCCATCATTCTGGTAGCTTCCTTTATTTGGTGTTTTTCCCAGAACATTAACGAGAATATTAACTTTTGTTTCTTCAGTTTCCCATTGCCTTTGTCTTCTCATCCACATACCTCCTTCAGCCTTCCATCTACACTTCTAGTTATTACTATGCAAACCAAAACCAAACTATACTCTGCCTAATCAAATCTCAGACACTTTGCAAGGCCCAATTTGCCCAGCTTAAGTAACCATTCTTTCTCAGCGTCTTCCCTAATAATTTAGACAATACTAATAACAGCTTCTTCCTATGGTATATACAGAAAGTGTCAACCAATTTAGCATTTATTACCCACTATTATATTACTCTCCAGTTGTCCCATGTGTTTTAATCTTATCTCTCCAATAAGATTAGAAATTCCTTATCAAGGCCTTTGATTTTTTATGGGCCCTTTGGTGCCAATGACAGTACTGAGCATTACAGTTGCTGTCAATAAATACTGTCTGAAACACTGATGACATTTTCTTTTGAAATTACCATAATTACCTTGCTCATATTCCTCAATTCCAAAGATACCACTTTGCTTTTATACTTGTCCATTCTTATAATGTGAATGATGCAATATACCCCGATTACATCTTGGGACAATGAAGATAAGGGACAGGCACCACTTATGCCCTTTAGGAGCTTGGACCTTAACCACATCCACTATTTGCAAATCCCCTTATATCCTGGATATTACTGACAGTTTTGTTGCTCTTCAAATTCAAGGATAAAGATGCACAAGTTACCATCCCTACCATAATGAGAACATTTTTCCTGGAAACAATTGTGCCATATGGTGGCTGTACTTAAAAATTAACTGGTTTAACTGAAGCATATGAGCACTGGGTCACACTGAAATAACTACAGTATTTATGCCAAATAAAATCATTACTAGATGAAAATTTTCCCTATTAAAGATGCATATTTACAAATACGCATACATCTTCTACAAAAGGATTTAAGTACACGAGACATTTACTGGTTTCTTAATCAAACAAGTATCCCAGACATAACAATAAACATGCATCTGCATCACTTTACCTTATAATAGAAATTTTCATCTTCAAATTTTTCACCATAAATACTTTCTCCACCTGTCCCATTCTGATTTGAGAAGTCTCCACCCTGAATCATGAATTTCTTAATAACTACAAAAAAGGAAAATGGTATTAGAGACTAAGAAATGGATGACTTCGGCCATGGTAATAATGAATACGTAATAAAGACAACTCCCTAAAACACAACTTTAATCCTAACTCTCTCCTTTTCTTTCCCCCAACCATGCCCACAACTCCAAACTCTTAACGGCTTTTCACAGTCTGAGTCTGACCTTTTCAAGCCTCCATCTCCCACTAATCCTCAAAGGTTTAGTTCAAATGGCACCTCCCCTACAAAACTGTCACTGGGACTCCAAAGTTGCAGCTGTTAATTTTTCTCCCATAGTATCTCCACTCTATTTTATAACATAGATTATAATGATCTGTCTCTTTCAGCAAATAGTGAACGCTAAACACAGTGACCTTTTTTCATTCTTGTAACTAAGCGCAGGGCTGAGCACGTATTAGTTACTCAATAATGTCTGCTGAATAAAGACCAATTATCCCCAGTAGATTTGTTACACCCTAATGGAAATACTTCAGCAAATATTTTCGCTTTGTGTCAAGGGTTCTCAAGACTACTCCCATGTTTGGAGATTCCCTACGACTCAGGACGAGACCCAGCATTCGTGTATTACAGTGACTTAGTAAGATACACAGCTGGGTAAGGGCAAAAGACACACACAGAGTCTGGAGGAATCCATGTGCAGGCTTTCTTACGCTCTCTCCCTCCCACGAAGGGCCACATAGAGCATACTCTCCCGCCAGCAATGAAAATGCAGCAACACGTGTGCAATGCTTCTGCCCAGGGAAGCCCACGAGACTCAGTGCCCAAGGTTTTTACTAGGCGCTGATCCCAGAGATACTCTCTGCCTAGCACACACCAAGGTTCCAGACTCCCAAAAGAAAAGCAGATGTTCAACATAAATCACACTGTTTGTACTAACAGTCTAGGCACAGTAAACTACCTTTATCGTTTAGGAAATGATTGCAGTGCCAAGTTCCCAGACACCAGCCAAGGGCCAACCTTGCAAGCCAACATTTCTAAGGATAATAGTCTGCTATGTTAACTCTTCTTTCTATACACTTCGTTAGAATACTCTGGTATTTTATTAAACATAAAAGTAAATGGTATTAATAACTCAGCTGGTATTTAAAAAATCAATGCTAATTTTTTCTTACTCAAGTTTATATAAAAAGGTCTAGTGAAGCTAGGCTAGTCCATTTTTTCATACATAAACGTTACTGCCTTCCCACAATACATGAAAAGGAAGCTTTTATTCAATAATTCCACCTCTCACAGCCCAAGCTTTACAAAACTGAGCTATATTGCCTAATGGACTTCTAACCTTCACTCCTACTTACTGTTTTTCTTTCCTAACTCCTATTAAAGAGGATTTGGTTATGTCCTTGAGGAAGAATCAGATTCAGAAAATGTACACATACTTCGATGGAAAGGACATCCTTTGAAATGGAGAGGTTTCCCAGTTGTGGGTCCAATGCCTTTTTCTCCTGTACATAATGCACGAAAATTTTCTGCAGTTTTAGGGACAATATCTGCAAACAATTCTAAGACAATTCGACCAACTAAAAGAAAAGAAAACGGAATCTTGTCAGTAAGCAAAACCAGTAACCAAATGAATAAATGATAAAAGAACCGTTGGTACAATTATGGCGATTGAGACTACTCATTATCAAGTTCCTTTTTTGGTCATTTTTCTAATACTTAAATTTAATCTAAAGTGTCACATACTTAGCTTAATTTGAAACAATTATTTTTCTACGGTACAAAAAGGATTAATAAGCAATTAGAACAGGCAGCAGATTAGCACCACATAAGGTTCACCAGGAAGTACGAATGGCTTAAAATTCTGAGTAATATCTTTTCATGTACTTAGAATTTCCAATTACCAAGTAACCAAAAGGAGTAAATACCCTTTAAGTGGTTAGGCTGGCTAAGTTTTACGTGCTCTGTGGAACCTGCCTGAGTAAAAAAATTGAAAAAGCTCCCCTTCTAGACGACTCCTAAGGCCGATGAAAATAAAACATAGCACTAATTCCAAAGCAAACTCACTATACGTGTGAATGTGTGTATGTATCCATGCACAGGCACCCCCATGTGCCGTGCATACATGCACTCAAACATGCTGCGTGGCCGGTAGTTCTAACATGTTCCGGAACAACAGCTCCAGTTACGAAGCAACACACGCCCTAACTCAACAAGCTCTTAGGAACTTACTACGTAACCTAGGCAACCACACTGCTACACTGAGCTCATTTCTCCAATGTTCTGACTATACCTCTAAATTAAAAACCACTAACACGGAAAACGCAATTAGCGAACAAGCTGCTTTAATTTGTAAATAACATGACAAACGCTGATTTATTTCGTGTAGCAAAACACACAGCGTGCCTGGGGTCCAGCACTATGCGTCTGCCCGTTCTGGGGCTTTCTGAACTGTCCCAGTACAGACATTTTTAAAATGTCAATTCAACGGCGCGAGGTGGCGGGAAGGTGGAACCAAATGAGGCGAGACTGAAGCCCGCCACAACCTCCCAGGCAGAAATTTCCAGAAACTTCCCCCACGACCGAGAGCGCTGGTACAAGGGCGCTGGCTCGACTCTGCCTCGCCATCCCCGAGCTTGGCCAGACGCCCGGTCCGGGCAGCCATACCCTGCGCGCCGCCGAGCAGCCCCCGGCCCGAGCCGCGCCTCAGCCGCCACGGTCTCCTGAACCCCGGGAACTCCCGCCTCCTCGGGGCCCTGCCGTGGCCCACGGACTCGGCTCACCTCGCTCCCCTCCGAGGTCCACATCAAAGAACACTCGGGGGTTGCTGGGGTTGGAGGGCTTGGTTTGGGGGGACGGGTGCGACATCTTGGCTTCCACACCCGTTTGGAAGCGGGCTCAAGACACCTCGTGACTGCTAACAACTCAGGCCGCAGAGCGCCTCTCCGCCGCCAGGCTGCAGCGACGCCGACGAACCACTTCCGCCGCGAGGTCCGGAAGTCACCTCCGACTTCCGCCGCCGCCGCCCCGCCCCCGGCGCCTCCACGCGCTGCCGCCGACTAGCGGACCCAGCGCCCCCGCGGGGGGGTTCTGCCCGCGTCCTCCTCCAGTCCGCCCGCGTTTCTCTTGGGGCTTACAACCCTAATCCTTTTTCTGTTTTTCTCTGGTGTTGGCCCTTCCTACTATCGTGGTGTAGAAGAGCTTTGGAAACAGACGTCCCGATTCCAGCCTCAGCTCTGCCGCTAACTGGCATGTGACTTCTCCGAAACGGAATCTGCTCGTTTGGAAAATGGGAATAAAAATGTACATCGCAGGGTCGTTTTGAGGCTTAAAGACGTAAATCGCCTAGCACAATGCCTGCCACAACTGGTGGTAGCTAATCAATAGCAGTCATTATTATTGCCATGTTGTTTAATCTTTGGTCTTCACTTTACAGCAGAAGCGATATAGGTTAGATCAAAGGCATCAGACAGCTGAAGCTGAGCGTCCGGAATAAAGCACAGTTTTGATTCCTGATGAAACGGCATTATTATAGTCCACTTTTCCCTTATGGAAATTTGTGTAAAATATTTTACCTATTCGTATGAGAACATACAAAAAGCCTAATTTTGGCGGAAGGTGGTATGTTTCCTATGCAGATGGAATGACCTCCAGTCCTTTGGAAACCCAGTAATTTGGATTCATCTTACCTTATCAATAAGGCGTAAGGTATTCTTAGATGCCCACATTTCCATTATTTTTTCTTATCAGCAAGTTAATCTTGACCAAATCTTGAAATTTGAATATAGCACCCACAGAGTGTCTCAAAAACCAGGATCCTTGTGTTGAATAGCAGCAGCCACAGTAGCTTTTTGGAGGGACGAACCAGGGATGATTTTCACCTATCACAACAACCACCATGGAGAGAGACGAAGGCTCATATCCTTGCTTGCCTGATCTTAGGAGGTGTAAAAGTTAGAAGGATGATGGTTAAAGGACAGCCAGCTTCCTACTCTCACCTTGAAATTGTTGTTAGTTGCAATGGAGTCGCCTCTGACTCATGGCAACTTTACATACAACAGAAGGAAACCTTGCCTTGTCCTCTGCTATCCTCACAATCATTGATATGTCTGATCCCATTGTTGGAACCACCCTGTCAGTCTGTCTCATGGAAGGTTTTCCTCATTTTCGCTGACTGTCCACTTTACCAAACGATGTTCTTTTCTAGCAACTGGTCTTTGCTGATGACGTGCTCCAAGTAAGCAAGACCGTCTCACCATCCTTGCTTCTGAGGAGCATTCTGTCAGTTAGTCGTACTGTGGTGGTGTGTGTGTTTCTGTGATGCTGGAAGCTATGCTACTGGCATTTCAAATACCAGCAGGGTCACCCATGGTGGACCAGTTTCAGCAGAGCTTCCAGATTAAGACAGGCTGGGAAGAAGGCCTGGCAATCTGCTTCTGAAAATTAGCCAATGAAAACCTTATGGATAACAACTTGAAGGGGTCTGTAATGACTGGACTAAGCACTAAATTTGATCTTTAAAAAAAAAAAAAGCAAGTTCAAATTCTGACTATAATATTTACTAGGCATGTGACCAATGCACAGTCATTTAATTTCTCTGAACCTGCTTCCTTTTTCAATAAAGAAAGGAACAGGGTTTCAGCATGAAAAAAAGATAATGTGTTATGTATTTGCTTTGTAAACTCTATTATTATTCAAAGACTCTTTAAAATCACTGTGGCAATGAAATGATATGGTATCTGGGTTTGCTTTAAAATAGTCTAGGGCAGGAGCATGGCTGGGGTTCTGGATAAAACAAAATAGGCCAAGATTGGAATCATTGCCAGATGATTGGCGCATGGGGGTTTATTTTACTGCTGCCTTTATTTTTGTATGTTTGAAATTTTCTATTGCAAAATGTCTTTTAAGAGGTAAAAACAGAATTACCTTGTCCAAGTTTTAGGTGTATTACTTATTAGGAGGGACCCCTGGGTGGTGCAGTTAAGTGCTCAACTACTAACCAAAAGGTTGACCGTTTGAAAACACACAGAGACACCTCAGAAGAAAGGTCTGGAGATCTGCTTTCAAAAGATCACAGCCTTGAAAACTCAATGGAGTGCGGCTCTACTCTGACCCACGTGGGGTCGTCATGAGTCGGGATTGAATGGATGGCAACTGGTACTTATAAAGTGTTTTTAAAACTAACTTGTAAAGTAATTGCTAAATTAGAAATAGCAACGTAACCTTTTGCCAAGGAAGATGTTGGTGAGATTTTAGGGCAAATCAATAAGCACATTATACTGATTAAATTTTTCTGTGTAATCACCAAGTTCTATGCCTAAAATGCGTACATACGTAGGTATGCCCGCATAGATACTAGCAAAACTCTATTTTGTTTCTATGACAAATATTTATCGAGCTCTCACTATATGCCAGAGCCCTGGTGGCGCAGTGGTTAAGAGCTACAGCATGCTACAGCTGCTAAGGAAAAGATCGACAGTTCAAATCCACCGGCCGCTCCTTGGAAACCCTATGGGGCAGTCCTGCCCTGTCCTGTAGGGTGGCTACAAATCGGAGGCAACTACATGTCAACAGGTACTGGTTCTATATGCTGATGATGCAATGCTAAAAACAGACACAGTCCTTATTCTCAACTACACATATCTTACAGTCTAAAGACAATAGAGTTAGGAGGGCGCAATGGTTAAGCACTAAGCTGCTAACTGAAAGGTCAGAGGTTTGAACCCACCAGCAGCTCCATGAGGGAAAAGACCTGAGGATCTGCTCGCATAAAGATTACAGCCTAGGAAACCTTATGGGGCAATTCTACTGTCCTGTAGGGTCGCTATAAGTCAGAATCAACACACCACCACCATACAATGAAGTGTGATTCGTGCTTTAATCGGGAAAGCACGCCCGCAGCAAGGGAACCGCACACATGGGCCTTGAGAGAAACCGGAAGTTGTGAGTCAGCCGGGGAGTGACGTGGCCTGTGGGAGGGGCATGGAGAGAGCAGGTGAAGAGCGCGCTCGCAGCAGCAGAGAGAACCAGGCAGCCTCGGAAACTGAAAATGACCAAACCGGGAGAAGTCCGGAGGCTTTCTAGCTTTCAGTCTTCACCCTGTTTTTGTCTCCGCGAGAAGCCACTTTTTCAGACGGTGTCTTGGCTGCAGGGCCATTGGTTTCAGTGCCTGGATCAGAACCTATACTTTGGTTTGTATTTCTGTCCATATTTTCTTCACGTTGAATTTTCAAGATGAGCAACAGTTTTATAACTTTTCCCATTTTATCCCTGCAGTACAAAGGAAAAGGAACAATGAAAAGAAAGAACTCAAAATGTATCCCTTTAGCAAGTCCCTGATTTATTTTTTCCATAGCGTTTATCCTTTCTAATATAGTGTTTACTCATTTATTTATTTTTTTCATCTCCTCCCATTAGAATTAAGCTCCCAGAGAGCAAGGATCTTTGGGTTTTTGTTTTTTCATTAGCCTATCCCCAGCACAGGCCTCTGGGTGGAACAAACGGTTAAGTGCTTGGCTGCTAACAAAAAGGTTGGTGGTTTGAGTCAGCCAAAAGTGCCTCAGAAGAAAGGCCTGGTGCTCTACTTCCATAAAATCAGCCATTGAAAACCCTATGGAACACAGTTCTACTCTGACACACGTGGGGTGGCCATGAGTCTGAATGATTCAATGACAACTGGTTTTCTTTTCCCCAGCATGTCCAAAGGGGACTGACACATAGTAGGAACTCAATAAATGTTTTTGAATGAATGACTTACATAGAATGTTAATAATCTTGAGAATGTTTACAAGAAATTTCATTTCCATGTGTCTTTATAATTTGAGAAGATTCTGTCAGTTCTCCATGCTGATCCTTTCGAATTCCAGCACATTAAAATTAATGTATATGTGTATCCTGTGGGGTCAAGTTGAGTTGGAATCAACTCGAAGGCAACGGGTTTGGTTGTTTAGATTTTATTCTTGGAGATGCAAAACAGAGGAGTTGAGGTCCTCTTCTTGTGACACAAAGGGATTGTTAAATCCAGAAACTGGAAGTGTGTATAAATTTTAAAGCACTGACTTACAAGCTGAGTCCATCAAAGAGTGAAGAAATGAGAAAGGGCAGCTGTGCTACCTCAGTGCTAAGACAGACCTGCTGATAGGGGAGGCATGACACTTCAGCTTTTATGGTTGGTTGGTCATGAAAAGCCTGAAGGCATGTCCTTTTGATAACCTTTAAAATAATTTTCCATATCATTACCGCACAACAAGCAGAAATGGCAAGCTCAATCCACTAAAGCCATCCCTTCTTCAAAGTCTTCGTTGACCAAAATTAAATATAAAAATAAATAAGTGTAATTAAAAGATTATCACCTATGGTCCAGGCATTTCTTAATCCTAAAACTTAAGGTTGTTCGTAAGGAAAGGCTTGACAATGCTGAAGTTGTAACCCAGTTCATTGGACATAGAAGCTTCCAGACAGAAATAACGAGGCACACTCGTAAAATAGATCACTGAGGGGGAGGACGGCTGGAAGGCGAGGAAAAGGAACAGGACACAGCAGGGCACGTACCGTGGTCAGAGATAATGTCAGGAGACTCGGAGGCAAGCCACTAAAAAGGAATTGGCGTCTCAGAAACAACAGCGTATTTTTAGAGTCAACTACACTGACGTGCTCGCGAGTTTTATAGACCACTCAAAGAAGTCCCTGCCTTGCAGGCCTTAGGATCAAGAAATACTTCCATTTATCTAATACAATGCTCTCCTGCTGCCATTTTAGGTGCTTTTCCTCTATCCTCGATGGAAATGAAAAACATAAGCTAGTTTTCCTGTAAATAGCAATAAAATATAGAATAAATGTATGGGGAAAATAATAAAAGAAAACTTTCCTTTTCTGATGAAAATT